ATATGTGCACCTATGTTGTTAATCTTGGATAGCGTTGCGTGGCACAGACCTCCTAAAATGCTAGTGAGTTAGCCGCCATTGCAAAGATTAAAAACCAGTGTTTAAAGTAAACATAAATACTCAAAAATAGACTAATACACAATAAAAAAAGTTCATTATACTTAATAGTTAAAGAACCTAAAATATAGGGCAATAAACTTTAAGTGTAATAACACATAACTAAACTATATGTAGGAAGAAGAACTGAAAGATTATTCCGTGAGCAGGAACACAACATTACTCTTCAAAGGGTTCAGATTGAAATTTATATCCGGAAAAAAAAAAAAAAAAGACAACGGTGTAGAAAAAAGAATCAGGAATGTATCCTTGTGATTCCAAAAGCAGATGCAATAGCGGCTATGATGGCGGTTTGGGACGCAATTTGCAGCCGCTACAACCGCTATTGTTGACAGCGGCTCGAGGGCCAATAGCATCATGCCAAATCCTATCACCGCTATGCTATTTTGCTATAGCATGCTATTGACAACATAGATGTGCACAACAGTGAAATGCAAACAGCTCACATACAAAATGAGTTTTTCGGAGACCTAAAGCTTTTTTTTCTTGCAGACCAATTTTAAAAAGTTTTGACACAATCAAGACAAACTTTGGCATAAATGCTTCCCTGATAAAAAAAACACTCGAGTGAAATGCATCAAATGTCTTTGTGGTGTAAGATAAAGCTAGAGGTTCATCAGTTTATATATCCAAAATTAAGGTTTTTAAGTGTTTCTTCTTAAACATGGAAAAAATGGGAGAAATGTAAGAGGAAAATAAAGAATGAAGCTCTGCGGTTTTATACTAGGGAATAACTCAAGTGTCACAAAGTTGAATCAGTGATAATGTTACACGCTCTACGCATAAGCTGCAATTTTTTTCAGACATTTTTTATACATTCACGTATCCAGGATTTCCTTTTTTACCTATACTTGACCTAACTATCCTCCTACGCCTAGCTCAGTACTGAAAAACTACAAAAGGTTCAAATAGAAATGTCTCTTCTCCATAAGCATCAACTTATAATAAGAAGTCTGACATTATCGACCAAGTTTCACCATCATTAACTCACAGACGAACAAACAAATAAAATATGCTTTGCCTCCCCTTCAAAGTTTACATGTAATTGAAATACAGGTGTCAGGTGCACATTAGGTATCAAAATGGAGAATACAGAGGTTCCGAAAACAATTAAATCAACTATATCAACGAGTGTTGTTCTAGTAATATGACATTCAACGTATTTTCTATACCAACCTCACACTCCTTTGTTTTAATTACCACCATAATTTACCGTCCTTGGGACATTTGAAAAATGCATCACATTCATGGCAACTGGCAGTAACTCCCCAAAATTGAAAGCGAACTCCAATTCATTACAAAACCATAGCAAATAAACATCCAATAGCATAAACTTATCCAGAAAAAACTTCAAAAAGTCTACAATCTCAACCCCGCCCCCTTTTCGTTTGTGTGCACACATACACTTCAACTACAACTGTAAAAAGAGTTTCACCACAAGAATCCGTTGGCTTCCAGCTCTAGGCTCATATTGCATTCACTGGGATAGAATTTTAACTAACCCATCTTCATTATCTAACATAATACTAACAGAGAAATCCACTAGCATAAATAAATTATTTAAGAAACTCTATCTCCTTCAATTTTCATAGACCACAAGGAAAGAATTTTAACTAACCCATCTTCATTATCTAACATAATACTAACAGAGAAATCCACTAGCATAAATAAATTATTTAAGAAACTCTATCTCCTTCAATTTTCATAGACCACAAGGTAGACCTACATAAGACTAAGCTCGTATTGGCATGCAAAGAATTCACACTTTCCTCCCCAATGCAAGAGAAACCAACACTACAAAGGAACACATGGAATCAAACACTAGGAGCTAGGCAAGAGTAAAACATTACCGAGATTGAAAATCTAACATGAAATGTGCACAATTTACCTAAGCTGAAAATTTCTCAGTTCCTAAAAAAATGAACAAAAGCAAGAAACACAAAACTCAATTACTATTTTCCCCCTACTTTCTCATCAACTGAGCTCATCTCATAAACCGAAAGTCACTCCAAAATCTCAAAATCAACGCAAGAACGCAAAAGATCAGAAATACGAAACAATTCAAGCTCAGAATCAGCATTCGAATTGAGTAAGGGACACAAAACCACAACACGAGTAGCAGAAATCGTGCCCAATATGGAAAGCCACAGACGCAAGCAGATTTATACAGTGGTTCCTAGAGAGAGAACACTAGGGTTTTTAGAGATAGAAATGGAGTTGGTGAACTCACAGTGACATTGAGAAGGTTCCGTTGAAGCTCAAAATTGATCTTGCGAAAGTGTTGAAGATCAAAGCGTTAGGGTTCGAAGCGGTGGAAAAAGGAAATACGAGTTTCTTAGCTCACACAGATAAAGTGATCGAAATAGTGCAAAATTTTCAACGAACAGAGGAACAACACCGAGGTTCGGTCCCGAGGTAAGGTTCGGAGGCCGAAGCTGATTGCTTCGGATCCAAAGCTGGGCCGTTTTTTCTTCCCTCGCGAAATGCAAAGCCTTTTTTTCGGTAGAAAGCCCAAGAAAATGCCATGTGAAGATGTAAAGTATGGGGTGCCCTCAAAATTTAAAATTGGCTTTTTTATTTTTATAGATGCTTTAAATCATATTAATTATTGTAATTTTTGATAATCACCCATTTTAAATAAAATCTGGTTCGTAGATGCATGACGAATATTATTTTAGGGTGTTTTCATGTATTTCTGAAATATTCATTGATTGAGAACGTGTTTATTGCACACAAGAGATATTTTGAAGATACATATGAAAAATCACTTTAATAGTTTTAAGACAACAATATTGTTTCCACGTTTTAATTTTTTAGGCCAAGTTATATAAAAGTAAAATCAATTTATATTAAAATAAAATGAAAGCAAAAAATTGCACATTAATTGAAGTAAAATTAAAATGTTTCGGTCATGCATAACTTGTTCTGAAAAATACTAAAAACAATACCACCAGACATAACAAATCGAGTATGTCTAACCCCCTGGATTCTCCGCGTGTATTGTAAGGCATCTTGTGCCTCCGAATAACGCATTCTACGAGGTCCAACTAGGGAGTGTCTTCCTAAAAAAGTTTTGCCTCTATGTTTGATCTCTTCATATCCATAATACGCCGACAGACGATGTTCGTGTCTTGGGTATGGTCATCTCTAACCTTCGGTACTTCTTAATTAGAAGGCCTAAATGGTCTTCAAATAGTGTCTGGTGTTATGATAGGGTGTGACATCCTATAAAAACATGGCATGTACTTGTGTTCATAAGCTCAATATATAGGAGTTAACAATATATGATACTCCTCTGATACCAAATGACTCTCAAATTCTTCAAGTATTACATTAAGAACTCTGCAACGCACTATTGGAACAAAATTGATTGATATCATATCTCTTGGATTTTGATGATAACAAAGTCTTTAAAGAACAATGGAGTATTCTAACATTTGTTCGAGTGTGTAGGATTATAAGACTGAGAACAAATGAAGAAAAGCTTGAGGATTCTGAATTTTAAGTTTAGACTCTGGCTCTAAAGATCACTTCTGAAGACTCTGGCTCTGATGGAAGATCCAGACTCTAAAGAAGTCAACTCTAAAGAAAGTCAGACTCTGGTGATCCAGACTTTGAAGCTTCATAAGCCAAGAAGTAGACTTTGGAGAGATCAGCCTTTTGGAGTGAAGTCTGAAGGAAGTCAACCTCCAAAGCATATTTTCTTCAATCGAGGCAAATCTGACAGACTCAGAGATTCTTCTTTGTTGTCTAAGCTTCAATGGACAATTCCTCTTGCAAAAAAAAATGTGTTTTCTTGATATGTCAAATCAAGTACAAAGCCTACCCATCTTTTTGGTGAAAGTCTTCGACGTCTTTTTTCTCCTTTTTATATAAGGAGCAGAAGACTTGAAGAAAAAGAAGACTAATACATTGCATTATAAGACTCTGAAACTTGACATTTCAAAAAGAAGTCGCTCTGTCAAAATAGCTAGACTTAGAACCTCTTAACACTTTGTATATTTTATAAGTTTTTAAGTCTTATAGTCTTTTTAAGTTGTATTATGTCTACACATTTGATTGTATATCAAGTGTAGTTGTTACCCAAATCTCTTAACAGATTGTTATAGAGTCAGAAGTCTCTTGCTTTAGTGCTTGAGCATTTGAAGTCTCTTGCATGTGTACTTGAGCATTGGAAGCTCGTTTCTTATGTGCTTGAGCATATAAGTCTCTTACTTGAGGGTTTGAGCATTAAAGTCTCTTTCTTAGTGTTTGAGCATTTGTAATCAGTTTGGTTATAGTGAAAATTCCTTGGAAGTACAATGGGACTGGACTACTCACAAATTGTGAGAGGAACTAGGATAACTATTGTGTGTCTTTGCTTTTACTTTCCTATTTTTTGATCTTAATATTCCACTGATATAAATAGTGCAACTCTGAGTCAAATTCTGGTTCATAATATAATAAGGACCTTCACAAGTAAACCAAGTATTTTTGAGTTAGACTTTGAACTAAATGTTTAGAATTTGATCGAGATTCATCAGAAGTAGAAGAAGAAAAAGCTTAAAGGAGAAAAAACAACACAATTCAACCCACTTCTTATGTTTTTCTCACCTTCAGTTGGCATCAAAGTAAGGTATGTAATAAACACTTAATAATGGTACAAAAAAGATCCTAAGAAAAACATTTTCCTTATAATGAGTTACTTTAAAGTTGAAACTTATCACTCTGGTGATTATTCCTAGTCCATAACCTACTCCTCTTGGTGATGTTAATCATGATTATAATACATCTGAAAAGAACAATTGTTACTTATTCCTCTTGGTTGAAGCTTTACAACCTCTAATTTAACCCTAGAAACAGAAATGCCAGCTTCTTTAAACAAATCTCCAATGTGAGAATCCTCAAGAATTCCCAATATCAACCAATAAAGAATTTTGTTCAGCCTTTGCTCTCCTAATGAATTTAATAAGATAAGTGCTTCCAGGGGCATCTTCTGGTGGATAAGATTGTGAAGGAAGTTTCTTCATTGATTGTTTAATAACTCTCTCGATAACACATTCAGAAACTTCACCACCAACATTTGAAATTGATTGGAAAAATATATTAGTGGGATCAAAAATAAGAATGGAAGAAAGGTATAAGGGAGTGATTTGAGCATGTCCTAAAGTTGATACAAGTTCATGAGCACCAACAAGTGTTTCATTTGTCATGTGAGTAAATTTCTCCAGATCCATTTATCTGCATTGTAAAATTAAACCAAAAATAAAAAATAAACATGAAAAATCACAAATTCGGAATCGTTAAGATCCTGAGTGTCAGGGAGTCGAAATCCCTCAAAATACCAAATCTCATTTCTTACAACCAAAATCCAATCGTCATTGGTACTCCAGGGTCCAATTTTTATTGGTACACTAAACACCAATTGTCGATGGCACCCAAAAGTTCAACTTCGCTTGGCATGAACATCTCAAAAATACAACTTCACTTAACCCTTTTTCAACAAAAGAAAACCAAGCTCTACTTTACATACTTACCTTATAGTCCAATTTTCATTGGCACACATCCATTAACCAATTACATGCACTGATTAATCATTACATTTCATGCATCATTTCACACGTATCATATCCACGGATATGGTGTACTACACCAGGTAACCAAGGCATATCGTGCATCAAAAAATGCATCAACACAAAGAATAAATGCATAACATAAGTCGGGATTATGTGACTGCTCATGGAAGCCTAAATTAATCCTCAATAAAGCTAGTTACAACTCTTCAAGCGAGTCTCTGATCTAAACATGATTTCTTGTTGGTTCCCCAAGTAGGTAACCTCCTCACATAGTCTACTTTAAAGATTTTCCCTAGCAAACATGCTCCCTAGTAAGTCCTTTTAGGAATCTTTCCCAGTGGACAATCGTCTTATATGATCCTAGTTAAACCCCAATGAGTTTTCCCTAGTAAACCTCGATAATAGGTTTCCCTGGTGGAAAATACTATGAGAGTTCTTCGGTTAACCATCAATTTGTCTCATCATCCTTTTCGATCAACCTACTAACGTAAGCAGTTGAAGTAGTTGACCAATATTTCCTTTAAGAGTATTCCCTAGTAATTCTTAGTGAATCTCTCATATTGTTTAACCTGACGGTGTAAGCGACTGAAGCAATTAATCACTTTTCTCATTATTTGTTAGCCTACTAACGAAAGCGGTTGGAGTAATTAATCAATCTTTCCTTTGAGATACTTTCTTGTTAATGCTCATATAATCTTTCATTTAGATTAGCCTGTCAGTGTAAGCGGCTGGAGTAGTTAATCATGTTTTTAGGTGTTGATCAACCTGCCAATGTAAGTGGTTGGAGTAGATAATCAATCAGTCCCTTGAGAACTTTCCCTATTAATGCTCAGAGAATCTCTCATTTCGATTAGCCTATCGGTGCAAGCAGACAGAGTATATAATCATATTTTCTGGTGTTGATCGTTCTATCAATGTAAGTAGTTGGAATAGTTGATAAATTTGTCCTTTAAGAGTTTCCCCTATTAATGTTGAGAGAATCTCTCGTTTTGATTAGTCTACTAGTGTAAACGGATGGAGTAGCTAATCATGTCCCCTATTTTATGTCAACCTACCAATGTAAGCAGTTGGAGTAGTTGATCATTTCTTTCTTGTCGATTAGTTTGTAGGTGTAAGCGGCCTAGGTAAGCGGCTGAAGTAGCTGATCATGTCCCCTATTTTTTGTCAACCTACCAATGTAAGCAGTTGGAGTAGTTGATCATTTATTTCTTATCGATTAAGTTGTCAATATAAGTGGTCGAGGTATCTAGTCATTCTTGTCTCTGTCGATCGACCTACCAATGCAAGTGGTTGGAGTAGTAAATCATTCTTGCTTTTTGTTGATCGACCTGCTAGTGTAAGTAGTTGGAGTAGTTTATCACCCAATTCACCTGTTGGAGTAAATCAAAATGTCATTAATAAAAACTACTACAAACTGGTCCAAATAAGCATGGAAGATACGATTCATGTATTCCATAAACACACCCGGTGCATTGGACACACCAAACAGCATCACTGCATATTCATAATGCCCATACCGAGTTCTGAAAGTTATTTTCTGGATATCATCTTCTTTCACACGGATCTGATGATAGCCTGACCTCAAATTAATTTTACTGAACATACGAGCTCCCACGAGTTGATCCATCAGATTGTCGATTCTTGGAAGTGGATATTTGTTCTTGATGGTTACTTTATTCAACTGGCGATAATCGATGCACAAGCGTATACTGCCATCTTTCTTCTTTACTAACAACACTGGCGCTCCCCATGGCGACACACTGGGTCTTATAAACTTTTTATCCAATAATTCTCCCAATTGAGATTTCAACTCTGCCAATTCCGACGCTGACATTCTGTATGGTGCCATAGATATAGGTCTGGTACCAGGGACAAGATCAATCGTAAACTCTACTTCCCTCTCTGGAGGTAACTTTGCAACATCCCTTAGGAACACTTCAGGAAATTCTCTTACAGCAGGTAATTCCTCAATCGACGACTTACCCTCCATAGATGATGAAGCGAACACTACAAATACTTTAGCTTCGTCTTCTACCAAGATTCTCAACTCCTTAATAGATATAAGATTAGCCATTTCTTCTTCTTCAGGATTCAAGAATAACAACCTCTTCCTATAACAATCAATATAAACATAGTTGCTCTCGAGCCAATTCATCTCTAAAATAACATCCAACTCGCTGAGTGGTAGGCAAATCAAGTCCACTCCAAAATCCTTACCAAAGATCGACATAGGACAATTCAAACACACTAAAGATGTAGTGATTGATCCAATAGATGGAGTATCAATCACCATCCCTCTACTCAACATAGACGACACAAGCCCTAGTCTCTTCACACAATCCACATAAATAAACGAGTGAGTTGCACCCGTATCAATAATAGTAATTAAAGGAGTGTTATAAATGTAACATGTACCTCTAACCAATCGATCCTCACTGGTAGGCTGAGCTCCCACCAATGCAAACACCTTCTCACTTGTATGAGACTTCTTTAATTTCTGATAGTGGGTGCTGATATGACCCTGCTCCCCACAGTTGTAATAGGTTGGTGTGTTGGTTCTATAATCTGTGACCATATGACCCGACTTTCCACACTTAAAACACTTTTTTACCTCATTCTGACACTCATTCGCACGGTGACCCATGCCACCATATCTGAAACACTTGAGAGGATTTGAAGGATTTCCTCCCCTACTTGGTTTCTTCCTAGCAACATCTTTCTGCTTTCCTTTATCAGCCGAAGCACGGTAAGGTGTATTTCCACACCTTGGTTTGCTTCTGCTGTCACTTAGATTCTTATAGTGAGCGATTCTAGCTCTGTTGTCTTCATCATAGATTCTACACCTGTTCACCAGCTCAGGAAAGTACCTAATCTTCTGATAACCGACACCCAGTTTGATCTCAGGACGTAACCCATTCTCAAACTTGATGCACTTCAAACTCATAGTCGCATCAGTATTGTAATGAGGACAATACTTTACCAGTTCGTCGAACTTAACTGCATACTCTGCCACTGTCATGTTCCCCTGTTTCAACTCAATAAATTCAATCTCTTTCTTTCCGCGAACATCTTCCAGAAAATACCATTCCAGAAACTCTGCTTTGAACACTGTCCAATTAATGGGACCCTCACCAGCTTCCAATCTCTGTCGGGTGCTGTCCTATCAGTCCTCAACCTCACTTACTGGCATATGGGTACCAAACTGTACCTTCTGATCCTCTGAGCATCCCATGACTCTGAAGATCTTCTCAATATCCTTCAGCCATTTATGTGCTACACCTGGATCATGTCCGCCTTCGAACTTAGGTGGCTTGTTATTCTGGAACTTCTCTAAATTACGAAACTCTCCATTTCCAGCACTCCGATTGATATTCTGACCAATATTTTCCACTGCTTGGGCAACAACTTGTAACGCAACAGCCATCACAACATCATTCCTACCAGTAATACTGTTCCATATCCATGAAAACACAGGTTAGAAGAAACACACGACTATAAACATCCTATATTCAGACTCTACTACAACACTGGCCGGACGAACCGACCAACGCTAATACCAATTGTAACACCCCACTCTACCCCGTACGTGTATTATAAAACATATACGGAAATATTTCATAAAAGTACATTAGAGTTCTCAAAATAAGTAGGATGTCACACTAAGTCACTTCATTTTTCATAATTAAACTAATGATATCTAGCTTCCAATTAAACAGCGGAATAAATTCAATTATTTAAACATAATTTCCACAACCGGTGGTTATACATCATTAATCCAACAAATAAAAGATAAGTAACAATTAATCAAGAAAATAGGCAAAATATAACATAATTCTGTCATCCCATGTTACGTATCAGAGAGACTCCTAGGACTCGATCAAATAGAAACACACTTTAAGCACTACTCAGGTACCTGATCATCTGCACTCCCCAAGGAGCACAGACGCAACAAACAAAAAAGGGGTGAGAACTACATTCAATAAATAAGCGGTGAAATACACATGCTAAGGAGTAGTTACACCCCACACATACAATCGTACATATACAACACACATACACGTGCCACCTCAATCACCCGACATTAATAGCTCATAGTCAGATACAAGAATGCAATGTGACTCACTGACTCGACACAATGCATGTGGTACCAACACAAATACATATGGTTCACCCTAAAACCTTATTCCCGTTGGAATCCGGATAAGTCGTATACGTTCCTCTGAACTACAACTTATCTCCACAATGAATTCCACATGAAGTCTGAATGAAACTAGGCACCCGTCATGGATTCCCACCTAGCCATATCCATAAGACACATGACATGAAATGCATGACAACACAATTATGCAATATAATAATTCAAGCATAATTCACGATCATTAATGATCCGCATGAGCCATCCGTTCACCATAATCCTCTCAGGAATTACCACAATCGCACAAGATTGTCCAAATTCGACAATCATGGCTCAACTCATCAAAACACACCCCTTAAGGGCACACCCATATAATTCCACATTCTCCCAATTCAATTCATTACTAACACTTCCTAAGTTCATTTTAGTCCTATTAATCCTACAGAGTCAACGGAATATGTTCCAAGCAAACACTGGACAAGAATCACAAAAACTGGGGAAAAGTCACCCCAGACTGTCCATACGC